CTTGCCCGGCACCCATTCAGTAATATACGTGGCATTATAGTTTTCGTAAGCATTCACTTTTTTTCTAGCTATTTTACACATTTTGAAAAAAACTAGTGGCTACATTTTCCTTTACCTTTAGCTTGCTTTTAACACTTTCTGGTCTCTACAAGATATTTAAGGGGTCTCACAAGATCATTTAACTTTAACTGTATTCTCTTGGGGTTTCATTTGTTCATAGCCATGATCTTTATTTTTTTGCATTAATCTCTCTCTCTTTGTTTGTATGTCTCTCTGTCTCTGTCTGTCTCCATCTCCATCTGTCTCTTTCCTTCAAAATGTGTAAGAATATTTCATTACTCATATGTTTTAACCTGTGAGGTTTGCATATGGTTCTTCCAGTCTAGTATCTGAGAATATTAATATGAAAATCACCGCATTCCCATTATTTTTGTGCTAGATTTTACTGGGACTTCACAATAAAATCACATCTTATATCTTATTTCAACATCTATAAAGGCAGTATTCAAAATACACAAATATGCATTTTCCATATTTATTGCTGGCATACAACAAGACTTGTACCATAATCCGAACAGAAACCATGTTCTACAGATAATTAATGACAATCCCAATTTGTATTGCCTTCAAAACAATAAAATTCTTTTTTATAAGTTTTACAGGAATAGCTTAGACTTATAATTATACAAGAAAAATAAACTTCCGGAAAGCTTTTGCATTAAACCAAATCAAAGTTCGATAGAATAATACCAGAACATGGAAAAAATCCACCCTGCTTTAGTAATGATAAGTGGAAACTGCAAAACATGAGTTTCCTGCAAAGCATTCATAAAATATTATGCAAGATACAAAAATAATAACAATAATAATGAAAATAAACTACAGTCAAAAGCTATTTTGGTAGAATATCTAAAATGAAATAAAAAAGTTATCTTACAAAACAAAAATAAATAGCCATTCATTACACATCCATTCATGAATATAGTACAAAATCTATGGCTCCACAAGACAATATTGCACTATGAAAACACTGTGTTGAGAAAACCTGAAAGGACAGGAAGACTACAACATATAAAACTTTATAAAACATGCTTTATAAGATATATGTTTTCTGTTATCACAAATTACTGTGTATATATATATGTATTTAGTACTTAAGCATCAGTACCTTTGTATGATCCTAACTGCAATACTGAAAACTATTCCCATGTAAAATTAGTGGTCTTAAACAGGAGGCCAAAATGTGTGGTCAGTATCTACATTAACCAGTAAACTCTATGTAGAGATAAAATTACACTAAAACCATTCAAATCCTTAAGGCACAAGGATAGAAATTTAACTTATGTTGATCACTGACACATACATATAAAATATTATGATTACCCCCACAAAAATAATAATAATAATAATATCAACATCAAAGAATATAATTTACTTGGGATTCAAAAAGCAAAACATACTGACATTTCTTTTTTCCATTCCCAAGTAAAAAGTAGATTTCTACATAAATATGTCTATAAAAAGTTACTTTCCAGAATACCACTTCTACAATGGTCATTTTTTTTTTCTAATCTGCAGTTAATAAGATAATCTATTTACCAATTACCAAATCAAAAATCAATTTCTATTTTTAATTGCTACAATGTAAGCTGTAATATATCACAAAGTCACCAAAATTTTCTTACAATGTTACTAAACTGAATGTGGCAGTGGGCAAATGGGCCATACATATTCTTTAGGATTCTTTTGAAATCCTATGTAAAATTGTAAGCTCCATTTCTACACTGACAGGAATCATGCTACATATAATATAACAGCATACAAACAGATCTAAAATATTATTGACAGCTTCTCATAATATTATTTCTTATTACTGTAAAAGCTGTTCTTTAACCTATTATATACCATACTGTATCTAACTAAAAAAATAATGATATACAGATCAAAAGACAACAAAATTACTTGTGTTGGCAATGCTCAACCTGACTAGCTGGATATCACACTGCAAAGTTTTCTCTCTAACATAAAGTCCTTAATGATAATTCTATGAACAATGTGTCCAATAGTGTATAAAGTGACAATACTTGGAAAAAACAGCAATTGGTGTAATCCTTATTTACAGAAACTAAAAATCAACATGTAAATCCTGATAAAAACAATGGAATAGTTAAATGAAACAAGTTTTCATATACTGTTCAATACCATACCAAAAATGTTTTTGAACACTGGAAATAAACATTTCATAAGATACAAAAATACAACTTTACAAAGAAAACACTAAGCAGTACACTAAAAAATGTATTACAGCATGCCTAATTCTTCATAATATTGCCATAATATATAAACTATCAGTGGAGATGTTTCCATACTACTGTACTCTGTAGTTGATTCTCCTACTTATATACCTACACTAGGCACAACTGTTTTAAGGCAGTGACTTACTATTTGCATTAGTAACAGAATGCATTCTTTTAAACATAATAGCTTTCAATACAAATGAAACATTCCAATCCTCCTTACATGATTTTTTTCATTTTAATTCCAGCCTCTGCAGGATAAAAATCATCAATGAATAATCTTTTCCAAAAGGAAATACAAAAAGAAAACTTTGCAACTCAAACATATATCATTTTTGTATTTACTTTTTTTTTTTTAACTCAGCATAGTGTGTACTTACAGCTGATACTACAGGACTAAGGAACTGCCTACAAACTACAGTTTTGGGCTATGCAGATCACTGTCTTAGGGAATGTCTAATCAACTTCAAAAAATAAAAATGGAAAACTAAAAACTTGCCTTTGTCTATAGCTTGGTTTTCAAATTGCCACCTCTTGTTATAACAATTGTACTTATCAGGCTACAGAAAAAACAGTGACTTTTACAGACGGATATAGAGTAACCGAAGAAGGAAGAAAGAGTTCTTGATCATTCAATTACCCCTTCATAAAATTGAGCATGTTGAAAGTCTACACAAGATGATTAGTACTCAGAAAGAAATGCTTGAGTATTTTGTAAAAATGTAAGTATTGCAATCATACCAAGATATTGCTACAGACTAACAAACTTTTTCAACAATGTTTACATGCACTATAGGAGAGAATTACCTATGGACAGAGAAAAAGTAAATACTTCAAGCCAAATTATAACATACATTCCAGCAGATAAAATATAGCATTAGAAAGAATGGAAACAACTTTGCACAGATATGTAGTTTCATAATGGTATCCTTCACTATTTACAAAATAAGTAATTAGAGAGGAACAGATTTTCATCTTATCAAATATGTTCACATACTTAACACTACCTCTATTGGCTTTACAATATAAATATTGACTCTTCATATTATAGATAAAACAAATTCTACAAGTATAAAGTTTTGAAAATAACCTAAAATAAATATTTTCTTCCACATCCATGCATTAAAGACAGTTCTTTCTCACATACCACATGATATTAATAAGAAAGTACATAAATCAATAACTTTGCCTGCAAAGTACATACTAGACAACTTAAATAAAAGATCATTATTCTATGATTTACTATATTTTTTAATGACCTTTTCTCCTCTGATGTATTAAGGGCGGACACTTGAAGAACTTTACAAAGTCCAGACTGTGTGCCAACAAAAATCCAAGTGTGGGCTCCCAAAATTATTCCATGCAACTGAAGTGGCTGCCATTAGTGGATAGCAAGCAACAGGTCCTGGTTCCATACTATTAGATCGCTTCCTCTCAGCCATCTCTGAAGCAGGAATTTTTGAGAAATCCTGAGTATTTTGATCAGTAAAAACTATGCCATATTTTTGACAAGTTTCCATATAAGTATGGGGCCATTCAATGTATGCAGCTGGGCACAGTTCATCACCTTCCTCATCAAATTCATCTTCTGTTTCCTTGATAGAGCGAGATTTCTTTGACTTCTTGTTAATTTTCGTGTTTGGCTTTTCAGTGGTCTTTGGCTTAGGCTCTTGAGGTTTAAAAGAAACTTTTGAGCCTTGCTCTAGGTCTTCTAATCTAACTGAAAGCAAGGGAACTTTTCTTTTTGATGGAAATTTATCATTCTCATAATTTCTGAATAGTTGTTGCTGTACAGTTATTACCACTTCACCAGCAGAGTCCCCTTGCACAACTGCATTCAACCAATCAGAACCAGAAAGGGACCAGACTGGTGCATTGGAAGATAATACATTACGAGACTGGATTCCAAAAAAACCACACTCACGGAAACTTGAACTTGTGTTTGACAAACCATAGACATCATCAAAATGATACAAAACAGCCCGCCCAATGTGGTAACCAAACTGCATCTAACACTAGCCCTCGGCGATTAATACTAAGAGGCATATCTGTGTTTTCCAGATCCCAAAATTTATATGTTCGATCATTACCTCCAGTCACAAGATTCCTGCCTCCAGTTGTATTGCAAAAAGCTACTACAGAGCAAACTCCATTATGAGCCTGAAAAGAATTTCTGGGATATATTGTGAAGTTGCCATGCATATCTTTAACATACAATAAGGTAGATTTGCATCTGATATCCCACACACAGACAACACCATCAGACAATGCCCCTGCAATGTCTGCATGTCCTTTTCCTTGATACCAATCTAAATGAAGGCACTGAGCCTCATCTTTGTACATTTTTCCAGGACTAAGGGTAACCTTAGGCTGCAACTGAAATATCTTTGATTCCTCATGCAAACCCAAGTCATCAGGGTGTGGAATCACATAAATGCGAATGAAGCCATCTGAAAATGCTGCAGCCAAGAGCCCTAGCCTCTTCAGTTGACTAGAGGCTAATTCCCCTTCCAGATATTCATATGCTCCAGATGGGCACCATGCTAGTGACCAAACATTTCCAAATTCATGTGCAATTCCAAACACAAACTTTAAATGTTTACCACTTTCTTTCCCTTCAGATGTGCATTCCCAAATCTGAATAAGACCTTCATGTAGTGTAGACTTCAATATTGGATATTCTTTCTCTGGAGATTTCAGTGTTGACAATGCTAGATACTGTGGACTCATACCAAGAGAAACATTTTGAGGCAGTGGACACCAGGCAGAAGATATGACTGGCCCTCCACAAAAGATCACATCCGTTCCACCTACAGACTGGCCAGTAAACTGCTGTATATTGGTCCATTCTCCTGTCATAGTGTTTGCTTTACCTGCCTGTTTTACCTTGAACCTTGGACTTTGTTTAATAGATGGTAAAAATTTCAGGTACTGCTCCTCATCTAATATGATCCATTTGTCCTTTGTTGTGAAGTATTCCAAGAACAGGTCATCCTCTGAAATGGAATCCTTCAAAAACTCAAAAGTCCATCTCATTGCTGGTTCAAAAGGCTTAAGCTGGCCATGACTCATTCTACCATAACTTCTGGTCTGTCTATATGACTCTTCACATTCATCATCAGAAAAGTCATATTCACTCTCTTCTTCTGCACCTCCTGTAAGATCTATATGAATGGTAGAAACATGACTCACCATCTCTCTTTCAGTTTGGGAAGTGTAATCACAGTTTTTACACATGAACATCTGTCTGGTTGCTGAATATGAACATAGATGGAAGTGTGACTTTGCTTGTGGAATACTTGAAAAAGTGAAAGTGCACCCTTCATTGCCACAGCAACCATCTACACCAGTACTAAGTTGAGATTCCCACTTCAATACAACCTCTTCAGGAACATCTGTTAACTCAGGCTTTGAATAAAACTTGTCTGCCTCCAGCTCAATATTAAAGTCTTCTTCAGCATCAGAATTATCACTGCCACTTTCCCCAGTTCTATTTGATCTCCAAACTTTAAGCCTTTCATTGCAATTTGCTGCTGCCCTTCGTCTAGGCCGGGAAGCAGAGCTTACAATCTCTTCAGTTTTATTTTCAACTTTCTTTGGATCCGGCTTTTTAGCTGCGTGGACAGTTCTCATGTGTGCAGGCATACAGTAGTACCGCAGTTCTTTATTGCAGATTGTACATCTAATATTCACCTCTTCATTAGATTTCCCACAAGCTTCAGAATGTCTCCTATAACCAAGTAATGATCTAAAGAAATTGCTGCAGACTTCACACTTTAGTTTTTTCATATTTTTTATAGTTTTCTTTAATATCTCCTTACTTCAATATCTGTGAAAGTCTGATCCTCACCATCAGGTCTTGCAAGGCCATTATGTTCAAGCTGAATGTGAAGATTGAAATGGGCATTGGAGTTGCAAATGACATCACATTTTCCACATTTAACTTCAATTTCTTCGACTGGTAATGACTGACTTTCAGTTTTACTTGATCTGCCCTTCTTCTTTGAGCTTATATTGACTTCATAATTCAAATCTGTCTCTCTTTTTCTTACCACAGACATAGATGAAGCTGTTACATCCTGGAATTCTGCATCTGATGTTAAGGTACTACCTATCTGACTGACATTAATGTTTGAATTATCATTCTCCTGGCACTCTTCTTGACAATGGCTTGTCCTTCTCTCCTCCTTCACAAACAAAAGTTGTTTTGGAACCGAAATGTGAGACGGTGATCGTATAGGTGACTTCCCTGAGGAACTTCTTGGTGATTTCGACACACTACTTGCTCTGCTTCGTGGTGCAAAGGAGTCTGTTACAACACCTGTCCCAGTCTTTAAGTTTTAGTTTTCGCCCTCCCGAGATACATGTTCAATCCTCTCCTCTTCAACTTTCAAAACCTCACTCCTTATGGATGTTTTGCATGTACTGTTCTCTACACAGCCAGGGGATTTCATGCTACATGAATTATTTTCTCTATTATGTTTTACAGACATAGTAGATGAATGTTCTTGATCAGTTACACACTTATCAACATTCAGAATTACCTCCTGTTTCTTCCCATCATTATCTGCTCCATTTTTCAGCATTTCATGTGCTTTATAATTTACTTCTATACTAGCAGTGCTTCCTAAATCTATTAAAGCTGTTTCACCATTATTACTTTGTTTAACAAACATATTCTCCAAACCATCTATTTTGGAATAAATTGTATATGCTGTCTGTTGGTCTAATTCCCCTATGGTGTTAGTATATTCCTCAAAGGCACAAAGTGATACTCCAGATCTACTCTGTTTTATCCTTCCCCTACCTCTTCCTCTTGATCTTGATCTTGCTATTCCTCTTCTACATCCTCTTCGACTCCTTTTCCTTCCTTTACCTCTGCTTTGTCTTTCTAAAGTATTTTCTTGAGATACATCTAACTCTTGATTCCTAGTCTGATCTTCCTCTTTAGACTCATCTTGAACATTAAAACTAATGTCACTATCTTCATGCAGTTCAGTACATATCTCTTGTCTTTCACTGGTATATAAATCATTCTCTACTTCTGTGGTGCAAGGCTCTTGAATTTTGCAACTAGCCATTTCATATCCACTTGCTCTGAAATTACTATCACTTTTATCAGGAGGAGATAATATGTTTGTACAATTGACTTCAGTTCCTCCTCTTTCAGTCTGTTCATCTCTTACTTCTCCAAGGATTTCTCCTTTGATTTTATCACACACATTTCCGGCATCATTTTCTGATATACCAAGACTCACATAAATAGGAGGATACAAAATGGTACTATCAGGATTTCTCCCTTCAGCATCTGAAATGTTATCAGTTGCAGGCATCTCTAGATGATCGTTTTGGGTAGCTTCACTGATTGTACAATGAGTGTCTTTCAATTCAGAGGACATGCAATTATTTGTATCAAAGTTTATGCTCACACCAGTGCTTTCATCACAATCTGCAACCTCTATATCTTCTACAACATTATCTGCATCATTACTAACATCCTCATCTTCAACTTCATCAATGCCATATCCTCATTTCCATCTTTTTCAGCTAAAGTTCCATTATTAGCTTCAGCAAGGTTATCTTCCATCTTATAATAAAAATTGGTGTTCAGCTGTTCTACACTTTGGTTTACGACCACATCACCTTGACATAAATCTTGATTCTCATAATTGTCTACATAAGCCTGATTGATGTAGGACTGCTTTTCTTCAAGGTCTGATGATTCAATATTTGTTTCAAAATTTGAATGTGTTTGTCTTCCATATCATAACACTGATCATGAGTATATTTCCCTTGTTCCTGCACTTCTTCTGTCTGACTCTGTACGCTAACTTGCTTGACCTGGTTAATAACAGGTAACTGCTGAGTGAACTGGCTGGTAAATTCTGGAGGAAAAGTTCCCTCATGTACTGCTGCTAAGGGGTAAGTCACAGTGTTGCCCAAGATGGATTTTAGAAGGACAGGATTACTGCTAATGAAAGTCCCTGTTGATGGGTCAAATTCACCTATAATATGTGAAGCTCCTTCAGGTACAGTGACATTAAAATTAACATTAGTGCCTTCTCTTTTAATCTGTGATTCATTTACATCATGTACTTGTTCCTGATGCCCTTGTTCTTCTGTTACACAGGTATCTGTTACTTCTTTACTTTTAATTTGAGAGGTCTCCCAGCTTCTACACCTGTGCTTGCTGCAGGTGGCAAACTTGAGCATAATTCTTGTAACTGAGCAAAATTTGCATTTCTTGTGTAGGATTTTCATCACTTCTAGAGTGATCTTTGTTTTGTAAGTGCCATTTCTGCTCTTGTACAACCCACTCTTTGTCTGACATTTCCTGTTCCTGACAAGTTTGTTCCCCTTCTTGTCCCATGATCTGTGACTCTTGGCTTTTTTCTTGTGGTGTCTGGACTTCTGGTTCTTGCTCATCATCACCAGGAATACATTCTTTATTACCTACATCTTTCTCACAGACCTGCAGCTGATGGTCAGTGTCTATTTCTACTGCACCTTGCCCTTCTACATCATTATTAACTTTGCTTACCATAGTGATATGTGATGTTGGTTGTGTTTCTTCTGCAACATATGGCTCTTGTTTTGAAATATGAGACATATGATCTCCATTCTGATTTTGGTCAGGTGAACAAGTAACTAAGGAGCTTTCATGATTTCTCTGATCAACATTTTCTAAACTTGGAGTATCATTTTGGAATGCAATGAATCATTTATGGCTGTATCTAGGTTGGATATATGTACTGGCAAGGGCTCTTCTTGCATAGAAACTTGTATTTCATTTGATGATGGCTCTTGCACAGAAACTTGTATTTCATTTGATGATGGCTCTTCTTGCACAGACACTTGTATTTCATTAGATGATGGTTTCTTCTTGCACAGAAACCTGTATTTCATTTGATGATGGCTCTTCTTGCACAGAAACTTGTTGTTCATTTGATGATGGCTCTTCTTGCACAGACACTTGTATTTCATTTGTGGATGGCTCTTCTTGCATTGGTACTGTACTGTGAATTGAGCCAGATTTTTCATCTACAGGATGGTCAACAAAGGCCGGGCTAGTCTGTTCTTCACAAAATTTATCTTGTGAATTTATCACATCCTCTTGAGCAGGTGTCCCACAAGGTGAATATGAACCTTCCAGAGACACAGATGAGTGAGTGCAAGGAGAAACTATTGAATGTCTATTAGATTTACAGGATTCATCATGTGTTGCATGAAGTGTCTGGACACAATGTACGGGTTCTTGGGTATTTGAGCATGGTAATTCTGTTCCTGGCAATGGATTGTGGGATTCCACTGTGAAAGGGGAGTTTGTGAAGCTGGATTATTCACCAAAGATAAATCCACTAGTGATTGTGAGGAAGAAACTACTGGTTGTATATCACGTTTATCTTGTTTTGAAGTTAGCTCAGCCTGTTCATATGATATGAGTAGCTGCTTTCCTGAGTGAGGAGAATTTTGGTCTTTAACAAATGAGTCATTCAGTGTTGCCAATACAGGTTTTGCATCTTGAATTTTTGTATGTGTGTTGCTTTTGGCAATAGACAGATCTAAACATGTGTTTGAATATTGTCCTGAAATCTTCATGTTAGCATCAAACTCTCCACTGGAATTACAGATTCTTAAACTTTCATCTGAACTATCAAAATTTAATGGTTTAGCTTTGAAAATTTGTAAAGAGGGAGTGGAAGTCCAATTTCCATGGCATTTAACTCCTGTCTTCAATGTCTTTTCTGTGGGTATCTGACCTGGTATTGACACACCAGCAAGTGATATCATCGACAACTTTCTTCCTTTTCGCCCTCGAGAATATGGTTCTCCTTTTTCAAGTGTGATACAGGTGTCACTACTTCTTTTTCTTAAAATCATCTCTCTTCCTTTGTCCACTTCATGAACAAATATATTTTTGATCTTACTTTTTCATTTTCAACTGGCTTAGAATCAGTAGACACGACTTTTAGATCACGGAAAGGTATTTTAACATTTTCCAAGTGAAGATTGATTGGTGAATCTACTGATATCTCCTTATCATCCTTGGTAACTGTTATGGACACTGGATATCAATTCTGTTTTCAAGGGCAGATGTAGGACGAGACCTTAGAAGGGTAGGTGACTCTGGACAGTCTGCATGTCCTGAAGGTTGCATATTTGGCATGGCACTATAAGGTCTTCTTGGCCTATCTGATGGTATCAAGGGAGTAATTGTTACTGTGGCCCCACCATTAATGACAGTTTCACCATTATCCTCCTTCTGGCTTTTAAATGATGTACCACATACAAAAATCTTACTGTTTGGGACCAAACTTTGTGCACGCAAAGGTGAGTTAGAACTAGTCTGAGGAAAAGAATCTGTCAGAGTGCGGCGTCTTTGTATACGTGAGTAGGTTCTTAGTACTTTTGATGGTTCAATACTAGGTATAACCTCACTTGTTTGCCAAGGATATGCATGTTTCTTAATGCCAGTTACTAATAAAGTTGAAGATGATTTTGTGCAAGTAGGGGATGATGATTTCATTGGAGTATGAGTTTTGTGAGACTTAGACAACCCATTTTCATCTTCAACAGATGAAGTTTTAATATTCATAATAGATGTATCACTTGAATTTTCACTTAACCTTGGAAAAGCAATATCATTCAAAGCCGAATTACCTATTTCATGATCAAAAGATTCTGGCCGATAGGCTCTGTGAATGCCCACACTCTCATCACTACATTCAACTTGGGGTCCATCTTGAAGTTCCAATGAACTATCTGTACGTTTTGTGATTTCTGCAGGCCCAGAAACAGTATTTTGGTAAATTTTGTTTCCTGATTCCTCATTACTCAGATGTGAACTAGCAGAATTGCTTCTTTTGCTCACAGCTAGCAATAAACTTGGACGTCCACTAGCAAAATTTTTGTCTTCTTTAAATTTCTTTGAATCTCCAAGCTTACGAGTCTCTTCCATCATTCTTGTGGCCTCTTCAAATTTCTTCTGGGCTGCAAATTCTCTTTGTTTTAAGGCTTCTTCCTTCTCTTTCAAAGCCAACTCTTGTTCCCGCAGTGCACGCCATGTTCTTTGCTGTGCTTCCTCTTCTTGCTGCTTAACAGCCTCTTCTACCCGCCGGAGTTGCTGAGCTCTTTCTGCTAATTCTCGCTTCTTAATGTGAACTGGAGCTACAAACATTTCATCTTCATCATCTTCCCACATACAACACTTTGTATTACCATAATTGGATTCATCAGGAAGCAATGGTCTCTCAAAAGTTGGTGTACTCTCTTTCTTTGAAAACTAATATATGGTGTCTTCATATTATGCACGAAGTTGGTATTATAAGACTGGTCCCTGCGAACAGGTCTGCCACCAGCTGGATATACTTCAGTTTTCACAACAGGTCTTGGGTAGGAACACATAACTGGTGAATGCCGGACTCTCCTATCATACTTTGGATGAAGCCTGGCATCTTCTTCACTTTCATCACTTGTGTAACCAGCAGTATAAAAACTGTTGGTATGTATTTCCTACTCTTTGTCGCCTCATAAACATTCCCACAATGTTCTTCAGAATATTTTCTTTTAACTCCTGATGTACTAGGATATACAGGTGACCTAGTACCAATTTTCCTTACATATCTCATTGGCTGATTATGTGTTGGCCTGAAGAATGGGTCTTCTGAAGATATAGGTTCTCTAAGATCATCTTTTTCACCATATAAAACTCCTGTTTCTGGGTAACCAGAAATCCTTATTGAAGGCTGAGAATCAATATCATAAACTTTAAGCATTCTTGGTTCTCCTGCATTTTTGTCTTTTACTCTATGAAATGCTGAAGGAGGTTCATATCTATGTGATGAGTCAGGTATTCTATCTTTTTCATAATCTATCAATCTATGTGGTTTAAGGAACTGAATGATGAGTTTTTCTTGATGAGGCTACATTATATGTACTTGGACCCGTTCCAGATATATCTCTATGGTGAGTATGATTCTTTGGCACATTATATACAGACTGGGAAGTCTGATGCTGAGGTAAGTAACAATCACTTAAGGACGACTCTGATTCATGTGCAGAAGAAACCAAAATATAATCTCTCTGCTTCCAGTGACGATCATTTGTTGATTTTAAAGCTACTTCCTCCTCAACAGACAATGGGTTGAAAACATGACCATTTCCAGATCTTCTTCTCTCAGAATCCTCTCCTTCCACTACCCTTCTCCTCATGCTATAATCAGGTACACTTGTATCTAGGTTACGAACACGAATATTTACCCTATCATCACCATGAATGTGCATCATATGATCATTCAGCATTCTGCCTGTTGCAAACCTTTTACTACACAGCTCACACATAAAAGGCTCTTGTGACTTTCCCAGGCAATGTTGAAAGTGCTGTATGATGCCAGACATGGATGGGAAGGTGAGATGGCATCCTTCTACTGGGCAGGTGGCACATCCTGATGCATTAAGTTCATGAACCCACTGCCTTTCCATTTGGTCTTGATTAACAAACCTGAAACGGAGTTTGCAAATAATGAACTCAGTATAACAATGGCATAACTTTAAATGGCTGGTAAGGAAAACTAAAATACCTACAGTACTTTATCCTTATCAAATTTTAAAAAGGCAAATAGAACAATTCGTGATGACAAGCTTTTAACAAGAAAGGTTAACAATTTTTTTTTTTCTCAAAATTACTTCAAACATATTACCTCCCCATTTTAAGTCTTGCCCAACACATTAAGAATATTTTTTAAATACTTACTTAAAAGAATGATGATCTTTGGTTTCAACACAATTTTCAGATATTTGAAAGTCTCTTCCATCCTCCTCTTCAGCACCCTACAAGAAAAGATATTTGTCACACAGTCCTTTATAATATATAAAGATTGAATATGTATTTGTGGTATTATGTATAGAATTGACTACCCGTGTATTGTGAAAAAAAAAATGCAATGCAAATACAGTGCTTTTAGCTGGTTTTGCAGCAACACCTGCCATTTTAAAATAAAATATGGCAACCAATCACAGCAGTACTTAACAAATCAATACAAGACAAATGTGAACAAAGAGTAATACTAAAAAAAAGGAAAAAAAGGATAAAACATGTCACTTAAACACACAAACACAAGAACAGCACAATTAACATATCTGGCCATCTGTGGCACATTCAGTCTGGATATACAGGAGACCCCCTCCCATCACAGGATGTAATTAAAAGGCTGTCATTTTGTATCACGACTCATGATTTAACCCCTATGATCTAGGTGACGTGACTGTCCCATTATGGAAAAATCTGGGTAAAAGGCCAGTTGACGTGAACATGCCACTATCGGATAAAATGGTCACAGGCCAGGTGATGCATATTTGCTGTCATGAGTGAAGGCCAGGGTAATAGAAATGACATGCCACAAGTTCAAAAAACCTCTTGAAGTGTGGTTAGACTCATTTGGTGCTTAGAAGGGGGCTTTTGCATTATTCCCATTGATAAACGAATGTGCAATGCAATGTGCGTAAGCCATGACTGGAGGAGTGCCAACTCCAAGGAGGACACCTTTTCCAAGCACAGCATGGAAATGAATATTAAAAAATAGCAAAAAAACTTTAAAAGTTTACGCAAAATAACTATGCAAAGGGGAAGCACAGAGTCTTGTCCCCACTCACGAGTGTTTACACCCGGCATACTGGCCACTTACATAACCCACTGCCTGTATTTCCAGCCCTGTTGGCAACCAGATCCAACAGATTAATAAAATTTATTTCTTCACAAATTTAGTTTTCATTAATCTTAATTACATTTTTAAGACATCATTAATTACATTAATATTGGCCAATATGATCAGAAAGTTAAAATTAGACAGATTTAACATTTCTGTTGGAACATGCATAGCAGGTTAGCTGGCAAGGCTATATTACCTCTGATAACTAATAATAAAATTTTACTCATAAATTATGCAAAGGTATTTGTTTCTTCACAAGTTTATATTTTTCTCAATTCATACTTCTTATTTTCATGTGCCATGGAAATGTGACGTTCACTGCAGTATTGTTTTGTGAAATGTATTTCACACACACAGATGACTCCATAAGTGCTTTGCCACCAAAGAAGTAATAGTCTATGTGATCTCTATATATTTTCAGGAGTATTTTTTTCACTGCTATTAACCCTATGATGACAGGCCCTGATCTATTTGTGATGTAATACTACGCAACAGTCTGGATTATGTGGCTAAGCCCAAGATGTGAACAGCCAGGAGTCAATCATTAGTTCAGCCTATCTCACCTTTACTTTTTTTCCTGAGTTTTGGAAAGATTCTTTTATCTTTCATTATCATTATTTTAATATCATAATAAACTTAATGTCAAATGATATTAAAAGTATCAAGTTTAATAACATTAGAATCTTTTTTAATTACAGATTCAATGAATGGGGAAATCAGGTGCTAATCAACTCCTTGGTGGCTCAGCACTACATGGAGCCATCTGTTTGAGTGTGAGCATGAGTGTGTAAAAGTGTGAAAGAGTGTAGTACCAAAGCATAGGAAAGTATGTGAAAGTGTGCAAGTGAAAGCGTGAGTCTGGGAGAATAAGGGAGTGTGTGGGAGTGGGAGAGTGGGAATGTTTCCGTGTTTGTTTCTGCTTTTCTTTTTTCTTTTTATATTACTTGTTTCTCTTTGTTTATTCTTTTGGTTCCTGTATTTCTGTTTTTCTTCTTTATATTGTTTCTGTATCTGTTTATATATAATTTCCTTTTTGTTTGAAATTTGTGAGTAAAATTAACATCAGATAGACAGAATACTTTTTTCACTTTCACGCAAAGGCAGTTTCAAAGAGAATAATAAAAATATAATACGGTAACTGCACGTCTGTACTGTTCACACTTGTACCAAGCTGCATGTCCCCCATGCCAATAATGAAAGGGTGTTCAAAAAAGTAAAATATTAATTGTAAAGTCGTGCTCTGTAGTTATGAATATAAAAAAAATTGTTGACATAGGCCAATGGTCTTTAATACTATCAGCTTAACTTATTTGATGAAGTTTCAGTCAAGAATGTTAAAGTTAAAGTATTATGTATTGTCCCTGTCACTCAAAATATTTCTTTGGAAATCATCTGTTACATTTATTTCAAATGATATAAGAAAAATATATGCATCCTTTACAAATAATGTTCAATAATTTGCAAAAATAAAAGTCTCCAGTGGCACAAAAATGATAGCAAATATTTATTAGGGCCATACACCAAAAATGAGGAAAGACATGACAATGATGTCTTAGAAATCATTATTTTCACATGAACATATCAAAGAAAGGACAGGATGTATAAATGAAAAGGGAAACAAAAACATGAGAAAACTGAACAGTGACAGACAGGAGATAGAGAGAAACAGAGAATATCAAAAACAGAGGATGATGATGAGAAGGAGGGAAGTAATATCAAAATTAAAGGAAACAGAAGAAAACAGAAGAAAGCAAAGGAAATTGATGAAGTGACAGAAAATGTCACCACGAGTAACAACTTTGTGCGTAATCTATCTTACAGGATGAAGGAAAAATGGCAGGTTGGTGGTGGCAGTGATGGTGGTGATCCTGAAGAGAGGAGAGACTCACTACAACTGATGATCCAACGCCACTCTTTTGGCTTGGTCTGCGCTCTCTCTCCATGATTCCTGTTGCTCTGGCAACCTCACTGCTACCAGAGTCACTGCTTGGCTGTGGCGACTGGTCTAAACGGTGCATTATCTTCAAGTGTTGTTGAATTTGGTCTGCTGTTACAATAGCTTGGCAGTGGTTGCACTCAATGATGGCATCATCACATCTCTGTTGAGATGGTAGCGAGAGAACTAAGTACAAAAAATCATCAAAACATATTAAACATATTCTAAACCTTGTAATTAATACACATGTGAACTCTTTTAACTGTGTAACACTAAGATGATCTTATTTGGTGGCTCCTACCCTGAAGGATGGCATTTTCTTTTTATCAATAACAGGGTATGACATCATATAACGGTAAGATTCACTTTCTTCTCTGGACACCATGATTTACATAATAACTACAAAGATATTTAGATGTTCAAAAAATAATAACTGAAATGTAAAATTATTTGTTTGTATATTTCTGTCAAGATATTACAGAGGAAAATAACATTCCTAAATTTAATTGAAAAAAATAAAATAGGTATGCTTACATATCTTGAAATATACAGAATATGTAAATACAATTAGGCAAATTCATCTATTCCCTCATATGTAATTGTCAATACATCCCTGCCTATGACAGCTTCGGTATTGGCCATTGCGAAGAACAGATATTGGCAAATTAGCAAACATTATCCCACATATTTTAACTTAAAAGAATGTTTCATTTTTGAAATCTACAAATTAAGTGATACAAAAAAATCCTTCATGCCTATCAAAAAGGGCTCCAAAACATAATTATTTTACTAGGTCAAATAATTAATGATTATATATCATTGCTCATAGAAATAGAAATAAAAAACTTACTCCTGTGCAGTTGACATAGTGATTCTGAATCTGTGTAGCTCCATGGAACATTATACCACAATTGGGAAGTGGACATTTCACATAACTTTTCTCATACAACTGTGCATTCCAATCTGCTAGCTGTTCACAGCCGATGCTCCTACGTACACCATATTCAGAATCATCATCCTGAAAATGAATAATGTTATATACAAACATAAAATAGACTAAATAAATGTAGTTATTGAATGTGAAGTGTAAATAAACATGTAGCTACTGGTGTACTGGTGAGTTCTTTGAAGTTGGTCTGGAGTTAAACTTGTCGCAGCTTTTGTCTTTAATACGGGTAACTGGTACAGAGGGGCATGGCAGGGAGGAGCGCTTCCTGCCAAGCTCATGAGGGCGAGCGGTCTTTCTGCATGGCACAGGAACTCCCATGAACAAAGTTTGTTTTCAAACAATTCACAGTGGGAAACATAAAAGAATATAAATGAACATAAATTTAGAAACATCAGTTCACATGACAGTTTCATGAAGAAGGAACAAGGGTATGGTTCACATAAACTAGGTATGTTTTTATAACCAAAACATTGTGGTTAGGGGACAGATTGGCTGACTATTCATGAAACATTGAATATTTAAATATCAGTGATAGAAGCAATTACATACATAGTGATTCAGAACAAGCATTTTATAAGAAACATTTTGGGCATAAATATGACATATTTATACATGTAAACATTAGAATAATAACATGAGAAACGTATGCAAGCAATAAAGGTTGGAATAGCATATTCTACGGTCACTTCATCAATGTCATCTCGTTCATGGCACAGGGCACTTTGGAATCTTGTGAAATAAAAAGCACATGAAAAGATAAAAGTTAGTAAAAAGAAACCTAAAGAGGTACAAATTTCTTGAAAGGTAAACCAAGAAAAAGACGAGTAGAAAAAATGAGAATTTCCAATTAGATGGGTAGATGGCAATTTTAAAGCTCAAGTCATGTATAACCAGGGGCGGGTTCAGAGAATTTTTTGGTGGGGGGTACAGGGTGGAACAGCAATAAATCTAAGGGGGCTGCCCAAAAAAAACAAAAATTAAGACTGCCCACTTCAATATTCACATTGTAGAGTTACACATTGTTTATATTTTCATCTTGCTGTGTGAGCATTATATATCATCATATGTTAATATCATATATTTATATATAAATATTAAATATAAATATATATAAAGATATAAAGGGTCAATGACTCTTGGGTGGGGGGGCGCACGTGGTGGCCAATCAGATTGCAAGGGGGGTAGGTGCCCCCTGTGCCACCATGAAAGACCCGCCTCTGTGTATAACTATATATAAATTATCAATTTAACAAAATGACACATAACATATTGTCTATATCTTATTGTCTTTACAAATATCAAAACATTATTCTGAACACAAATTTTAATAGTGGTAACTGATCTCAATACCTCATTGCATTTCTGTATACTAAAAATATCCCCAAAACTATTCTTTTAAAATAACAACCCTGCAAGAAAAAAATTTTGAGTTCATTAACCCATCTACAATCTACCAGTCATCTACCTCATCTCTTGGCCTGGATGGAGGAACAAGGTCCATGCGTTCTGACATGAAGTGAGGTCCACCTGCTATGTTCCTGCTTGGTCCTGGCTCATTAGGACCACTATCTCCATCCATGTTTTCTGAATGTGACAGAAAAGATTAATTAGCAGGTAGACAAGGGTGTGGAGTAATCATCACATTTACTAATTTAATTACATCTATTCCCAATTTTTTCAAAGTTTGAAGCATTCTTAATTTACTGTGGGTATTAATTCATTTGAGGGTATCAAAATAAAATCCCGAGTATAAAAACAACCAGAACAGTTGTTTTTTCCTCAATACAATCCCACACTCGAAAACACACACTTTCCCTCACCTAAAATCCCACAGTCTCATAAATACAGTCCTGCACACTCCACGAGGCACTACACCACTCGCACATACATGTGAGACACACGTTTCTTCACTCCTCGTCCAAACCCTCGTGGGCACACCACACAAATTAAGACACACTGGCACCAGATGACAAGACATGCCCTCCCATGTTACAGCATCTGGCTATATACCAATGCTTTAACAGCTCTACGTACGTAGTCTAAATTGCTATGCAAAATTATTTCACACACCAAAGACACTTTGCAGTTCCCACGATACCGTGTAGTTTTTTTAGAACACCTGGTCATCCAAAGCGGGATTCGAACCTAGATCTTAAGAGAGGAGATGCCCACAGCCTTCCGCCCATCGAATCCACGTGGTGACGAAACACCCCTCATCACTTTTTTTCAAGGTCAAATTTTAAAGACTCCAAAGTATGCAGCTCACCTATTAGATGCAAAAATGCCACTTAATACAGTCTAAAATACGTTAAAAACGTCCGTTCCCGTTATTGGATCAGACTTTCCCAATATGGCTTCGCGTTGACTAGGGAGGAGCCACGTGGACGGTGCTGCCATCTGTTGACGCGATCGGAAAGCTCGGGCAAAGTGGCACCGGGGTTGCGTCATCAAGAGTAATCATTTGAGATATGGTATTTATTCACTTGTAACATAAGTTGCGTCATTTAATAATATCAGCGCTATTGTAGTATTATCTCTGCCCTCGTTTGATTTGTGTTGCTTTATTATTAACATTTTATTTTTATCAATATCATCATACATATTATATTATCATTGTTATTATTATTATTGTTATTTTAATCCATTTTTTCTATTATTATTGTGTTATCATTACCATTATTATGATTATCATTGTTTTATTTGTCATTATTTTTTCTATTATTATTATATTATTATTATTATTATTATTATTATATTATTATTATTATTATTATTATTATTATTTTATTATTTATTATTATCATTATTTATTATTACTATTATAATGATCTATTATTATTAATATATTATTATTATATTATATTATTATTATTATTATTATTATTATTATTATTATTATTATTTTATTATATTATTATTATTATTATCATTATTATTATTATTATCATTATTATTATATTTATTATATTATTTTATTATTATTATTATTATTATTATTATATTTTATTATTATTATTATTATTATTATTATTATTATTATTATTATTATATTATTATTATTATTATTATTATATTATTATTATTATTATTATTATTATTATTATTACTATTACATTATCATTATACTATATTATCATTATTTGTGTTACTATTTATATACTATTATTATATTATCATAATTATTATTATTATTGTTATTATACTGTCGTTGGTTCTTTATATCATTTTTGATATCCATATTGTAGCTTATTATTATATTATCATTATTATTATTATTATCATTATTATTATCATTGTAATTATCATTACATTATTATTATTATTATTGTTATTGTTATTATTATTATTATTATTATTATTATATTATTATTATTATTATTATTATTATTATTATTATTATTATCATCAATATCATTATTATTGTTATAGTAATTATCATCATTGTCGTTGTTATCATCATTATTTTTAATGTTTATATCATCATTATTATTATTATCACTGTTATTATTTTACTTTACTGTTATTAATGATTATTACATTATTACTATTATAATAATAATTATTATTACTATTTATTACTATTATTATTACTATTATCATTATTATTGTTATCATTATTACTATTATTATAATCAGTATTGTTATTATATTACCATTATTATCTGTCATTATTATTATTATTTTATTATTATTTATTATTATTATCATTATTATTGTATTATCACCTTATCATAATTATCATCATCATCATTATCATCCTAATTGTCATCATTATTATTACTATTATTATTATTATCATTTATATTATTATTATTATTATTAACATTATTATTATTATTATTTATTATTATATTATTATTATTATTATATTATTATTATTATTATTATTATTATTATTATTATTATTATTATTATTATTATCATTGTTGTTGTTATATTATTGTCATTATTATCATCAATTGTTGTTGTTATTATCATGATTATGATTATCATTATTATTATTATTGTTATCATTAATATCATTATTATTATTAATATTATTATTATTATATTATCATTATTATTATTATTATTATTATTATTATTATTATTATTATTATTATTATAATTATTATTATTTATTATTATTATTATTATTATTTTCATTCTACAATATTATCATTATCATTATTACTATTATTATAATTTTCATTTATATTATACACACTATTATCATCATTAGTGTTTATCGTTATTATTATCATTGTTATTATCCTTATCATTATAATTACTACTATTAGTATGATTATCTGCATTATTTATCTTAATATCATTATCATTATTATTGTTATTATTACCCTTTTTTATTATTATTATAACTTTTATTATCATTATTTTCATTGTTATGATAATCATCGTTGTTATCATTATTATTATGTTATCATTATCATTGTCATTATCATTTTATCATTATTGATATTATTAGTACTATTACTATTATTAATTATCATTAACATTGTTATTATAATAATTATTATCATTATTATTATCATTATTTATTATCATTATTTATACTATTATTATTATATCATTATTATTATTTCATTATTATCCATTATTATTATTATCATATATCATTATTATTATTATCATTATTATTATGATCATTATTATCATTATATTATTATTATTATTTCTATTATTATTATTATATAAATATTATCATCATTAATACTAATATTATCGGTAATGTAATAACCATCTTTTTCCAAATTTTCATAATAATAATAATAATAATATAATAATAATAAAATAATAATAATAATAATAATAATTATTAATAATTATTATTATCGTTATTATTATTATTGTTATTGTTATTATTATTATCATTATTACTATTATTACAGTTATACTGATGATTACTATTATTATTGTTATTACCATTATCAATATTATTATTATGATCAAAATCAGTTATTATTATTAATATTATTAATGTTATATCATTATCATTATTTTCATCATTATTATTATTATCATCATTATTATTGTCATTGATTTTGTTGTTACTATTATCATCATTGTCATTATTATTATTATTATCATACGAATACTACTATTATTACTTTTATCATTATTATCATTTTCATTATAATGAATCATTATCATTATCCTTATCATCACTGTTAGTATCATTATCATTACCATTATTTCTATTATTAGTATCATTATTACTATTATCATTATTATTGTTACTATTATTTTTGTTAGTATCATCATAATCATCTATCTTCATCATCATTATCCTTATGATCATATACTAATATTATGAAATATTATTCTGATTTTATGATTGTCACTAATATCATTATTATTATCATTTCTATTATTAGTTATTGTTATTAGTATTGTTTATGCTACTATAATTATTATTGTCATTATTGTTATTACCGTTGATATTATTCATATTATCATATCATTATCGTTTTCATTATTATTACCATCAATACCATGATGTTTACAGGCAATTTCATAATTGTTTTATTATTGATATTTCATTTTCAACTTTTCCAATAATATTATTACAAAATGGCCACATCAAACCACCATTATTGTGACTGTTATATC